TTGATAACTCTGAGTAAGATACAGCTATATGATTTACGTGATCAGAAATTGCTCTCTGTCCATTTCTGACTTTAAAAGTTAAATTATAATTTAATTATTGTTACTTTTGCAGTTTTGTTAACAGACAGAGTTTATACAATAATCTAGCATATTAAATGGAACAATTTAGAATCTATTATTCTACTATAGCAATGTCCCATTCTAATTTAGTATTTGGTGAATTTATATGGTCAATTTTATAAATTAATAACTGTTGATGTTTCGCTAACTAAATGTTTGACGAGCATATTCCATTGTTCTGATCACAAAGAATTATTATATTTTCCCTACTGTTACGATTTCATTGTATTCATTGCATCTCTTTTATGTAATACTTCGATCATTTTTCGTCGTCGTGCAGTTATCCTTTTATTTGGTGCCGAGATAAGCGTCCACGCTTTAATATCCCCGTTGAAACTTGTGAAATATGTGTACAACGAAACTAGGGTCAGTTGCGAGTCGCTTTTAAGAAGCCCTGTTAGCTGGTAGAACAGTTGAAAAGAAACTTTTCCGGAGTTACGATGGCGCGCGTCGCTCTGAATAATTAATGCGAAAGTTCTGAAAATTTCAACGTGGGCTAATTACATTCTCACGTGTTTCGTTTGTGTTCGAGCATGTTCCAGAACAAGTAACCCAGTTTCCATGGAACATTCGTCGAATTACAATCGTTATGAACTTTAATCACCTGTATCGAAATACAATATTCCGAAGTTTCTTTTTTACAATCCTGGAGTATATCTATTAAATATTTACAATTTTCCACGTGTATTTTATGCAACACGTTCAGTGATATTACGAAACAGGGGCTGAAAAATTCCACTTTACTCTGCTTAATTCAGAGTCACGACCATCAACCATAAAATTCATAAAACACGATTTCAGTAATTTCCATTTCAAAGAAAACACGGTATTAGTCATTTCCATTGCAAAGGGATCAGGGATTTCTACAGAAATCCTGCGATTTCCTCCTCTCATGTATTTTCAATTTAAAATTAATTAACATCGATTCCACCGATGCAACAGTACACACTTCAAAAGCCTAATTTCAATAACTTCCAATTCAAAGCAATCACGAATTATAAACCCTATTGTTTTCACTTCTCGGTATATAACTAATTCAAACTTAATTAAAAAAATCCCACTAATACACCGAGAAACACTTCAAAAACACCGAATCCAATAATGTCCATTTCAAAGGAACCACGAGTTACCGCATTGTAAACTCTGTGACGTGTCCACTTCTCGTATTTCCAATTCAAAATTAATTAACCTGGTTCCGAACGATGCAACAGCACACATTTCAGCAGTTTCAACTCTTAGCCCCGATATTCACTCGAAAGAAATATAGAAAAAGGAACATACAGCTGAATGAAATTCTGTCTCTCCGTCTAAAACATTTAAATGACCGACAAGGAATTGATTCGTTCATGCATACTCGAGCTGATCCACGTATTCAGGTTAAATACTGCACAACGGACGACGTCGTTGGTAGCTGCCGTGACATAAACGTGGTCGCTTTATGATGTAAATACGACCGAGACGAGATAGAGACAAAGTCACCGCGAACGTTCCTGGTATATGGTCGTCCACGAAGAATTTAGATGCGGGACAGAGAGACGGAGTCGGCTTGGAAGGTTGTTCTTAAAATTCTGGCGGTTACCATCGGCGAACGTCGACCGGCGTGTCCCGTGCATTGGGTACGAGAGCCCCGTTTCTCTCCGTTGAAAGCACCCTCTGAAGCTTCAAGACCTGTCCCGCAATATTCCCGGTATTCATAATTTACGAGTCGCCGCAGAAAGAAGCCAGACAGCCATCAGTTTTCCTGCTCGCTCGCGAAATCCTCGCGATTATTCTCGCTGAAATTCCGTTTCCCGATAACGGGTCCTCGGTTTCTGCAGCTTCTGTGGTATATTCAACGTGTTTAGAAGGGTGCAGACAGACGCAGTCGGGGTCACTGAATAGCGATAGGATCCCTACCAATAGCATTTAAGTACAGTGACGCCCAGTTTTCGAACAATTGCACAGTGGTTCGGAATAAAAATTAGCAGCTAAAATGGTGAAAAACAAATTGTTTTTTTATTTTCTAAGGAAATTACATGAACTTGATCGCGAGATTTTAGGGTACTTTCTGTGATTACTTCTGAAAGTTAACACGAGTGTATGTTGATATTAACGAGTCCCATGACATTTGGAGTATTTTATATCGTGTGGGACATGATATAGGTAGTAGAACTGCGACAGGAGGTTATTCTACATGGAAGAATAAGTCGGAAATGTTGAAGGAAATTTTCTCGTATGGTACTTGGTTACCGAGATAGTGGAATTTGAAAATTCATTCAATATTTACACTTCCGTTCAAAAATGCTAAGACACCCGTTGTATGTGAAGAAAATGCGACATGTCATAAAAACTATATACACATACTCCTCCTTAATATTACGTTCGACGAAAATATGACATTCCTTCTTGTACCGTTCACAGATATAATAATGGTAAATACGTAATAGTGAAATGTAGTAAAATGTAGCAAAGTGGAGCTAAAGACGGTAAAGTATAGTATAATGTAGTACAATTTAGTAAAATGTAATAAAATATAGCAAAACATGGTATAATATAGTACCAAATAATAAAAAACAGGTTTCTACCGAAAACCAGTTGTTGATACAAAGTAATGAATTAAAAAAAGATGTTTCGCTTCATACGTATTTTCCTAAAGATTAGTGAGCTCTTAAGGCGTTCAAATTCGTAAAATAAGAAACAATATTTTGAAGAATTTTCATATCTATCTAAAACCCTAAATTTGCACGAACATCCATAGTATAGTCATCACAGGTCCACTTAGATCACCATTCATACAACGAACACGATCTATCATCGCGAGATTATCTCCGTCGTCGGGGTTCCTAGTGACTCGAACGAGCACAATGGATATCCTCCTGACGGGCCGAGAATGAAAATGGGTCACTGATGGCTGATCGTGGAGCCAGGCGGTAACGGGACGTGCGAATTGATGCCGTGAGATCGCGGTTTCGAGTCCCCGGGATCACGGATACGTGGACATATCTGCGTGGCGTGGGCGTAATCGGACGCGGGTGCATCACCAGGAATAATGTCGCACACTGGTCTCTGGCTCCGTGCCTTTGATCCAGGAAAATTCGGCGCATAGATTACCGCGCCCGCGTGATCACGGCAGTATACACGTTGCCCGCCCGATGTGGCCTGGGAGCAGGGAAATTCGCTTTGCCCGAAATTAGGTAACGGCGACCGCTGTCTGACCGCTGAATACCCCTTTTGCCGGTGCTTTCGTCCTCCACGGACGCTTCAACGTGGGCCCGTTCGACCGATAAACAGCACCCACGAGAGGTGATCTATATAGGGGAGGCGCGCGATATGTCGTATTCGACGAGTGGAAAAGGAGCGATCGGTGCTTTCAAACCCGTTGATTAACGGCCCCTTTGGCGCTCGATCCCTTTGCCCAATCTGCAGAACTGTTTGAACGGTTTTGTTAATTTTTCGCTGGCAGTACTCCAATCGCGTAATTCGATCAGGCAGTGAATTTGGGAGTAGGTGTGTTCATAGAAGTATTTTTTCTCAGGAGTTTTGTTCTGTAAACGCTGTCGGAGATTGAATCTTTTAACTCAGATCTGATCGAGGTTTTTTAGCTTAAAGACTCCTTTTGTTATGCGTGTGGATTTGTATCAGTATTTTTTTTCTTTATTATAGTTTGATATTTAGGTTTTGGAGGAATATTTGCCACTTCAAGCAGCCTAAATGTTAATCCAGGACTGGTAGTGGCAGTTTTATTCTATGTGTCTGATTACGAACGACTTATTCTACTTATCCATCTACCCTATTCTTTCAATACTATTTTTCTGTATTAATATTAAGTAACATCTTTAAAGAAATTAGTAATTTGCAATCTACCAAATGACTTTTAGGATTTTTATCCTAACATTTAATTCTTTTATTTCTATGGACAATGTAGAGTCACGATTATTCTAATGTCGGTTCATGTATCATTCACATTCACCTACGTTGGACAGGCTAAATGACCGTTTACACTTGAATCGTTAATTCGACACAGTATATTCGGCGTTCTAACGTCCGTGTCCCAACAATTTACAATCAATTTGCATCCCGGCTCCGCGGAAATGGTATGTAAATGTGACGTGTTTAATCGTGACCATCCCCAATTATCACGGTTAATAGATTCTAATGGGCGGGGGGGGGGGGGGGGCGTATTAGTGGATCGGTTCGATTGAATCTCGTTTAATGGAAATCCGGTCCGAGTTCGAGTGCATCAGGCTCGATCGAATCTTCCGTTCTTTAATGAATAATTTACTATCCGCTTTACAAACTCGACCTCATTATCAATACTCTTCGAATGGATACCGCGAATATATGTATAATGAAAACAGTCTGAGCAATCAAAGAAATTGATACAGTGTAACTATCAAGTCTATCAATACCCAGTTGAATACTTATTTCAGAACGAATTGAACATTTGTGGTATCTTACTCCTGGTTGCAATTTATCAATCCTCCGTTTTAGGTATCACAAACAAAGTTTCACATAATCCCATTATTTAGTCTCAGAAAAGTGAATGTCGATCACTTGAAGTTTATGGAAACATTGAACTTATTTGACTCAAATAGAAGAAGGTAATCGTTAATTATGCGTAATTGTTATAAAAACAAGAAAACATACGACAGGAATGACTGATTTACCTTTCATTCGTTAATACAGTCCTTGGCCATATTAATGTGACCACTTGTCTTACATTAAACGAAATCTAACTAATATCAGTTTTAGTAATAATTATTCATAATAAAAATAATGCATTCTGCTCATTTTATTGTGCGTGGCTAGAGATCGTACATGTAATTTGATTGGATACTGTCTAATTTACGCCTGATGTTTTTTCCACTCCTGACTAAAAGTATCCATTGCCTCTGTTTCAGTGATGGTCGATTGGTAGAAGGAGATCAGATATTGGCGATAGATGGCCAGCCACTAGACTCGAACATCTCTCATGAGCAGGCAATCTCGATTCTTCAGAAGGCACGTGGTCTGGTCGAGTTGGTCGTAGCAAGAAGCGCCCAAGGTAATTGAAATTCTATCTTTATACCGCATAAATTCATCCTCCTTATCTCGGTGACTACAGACGCCCGGGCCACGAGAAAATTACTGGCGGGGCGCATTTATAATACGAAATACTTTGAAACTGAGGGATTTATCTACTCCTCTCCTTTTTAAATTGCTTAATTGTTCCACGCTCGACCTTATCTCCGGCCTTGGCCGTAAACGCGCGAAATTGAATTTCACTCGCCGTTGCGTGGGAATTATACAGAACGCTGCACAATTTTTTTGCACAACCAAAGCGAAACTAGAGGAGAATATGCTGTGAAATTTGTTGGTATGGAGGTTATTTTTCGAAAAACAATAGATAAAATTCCCACTGATGCCTACAATAAATAGAACAATTACAAGAATTAGTTTTAAATGTATAATATTATCGACGCCTGCAGCAAGTAGAAACGGGGAGTAATAGTCAGACACAGAAAACCGCCAGTATTATGATATATCATGAAGTTTGATTTTATCGAAAACGAAGCTCCATATAAAACAATTTTATTTCATTTTTTTTTATTTATTTAACACGCGGAATCGTTTCATTGGTACTTCGAATTTTGCTACACTGCGCATAAAGATCAATAATTGAAATAGCTATATGAGTTGACTGATTGAAACAAACGATGGACTAAACGGTAAAATATATCATCAGGTAACATGAAATTTATTTGTGAAATTGGGTTTTCCTCTGAGTTGCAAGTATCAGAATATTCGAAAATTTGTTGTCGCGAGTTTGTAGTTCTTCATTCAAATATAAAAGTTTTAATAAACAGACATGATACTGAAAGAAACACAGAGATATCAAGGAACTGGGAAATGTAGAAACAAATGGAAAAACTGAAATGAAATTTTACATGCATGTCCTTTGAGAGATAGGGGCAAAGAAGAAAAGACTGGCACGCAGACCCAATATAACACCGACTCGAAGTATCGGCGAATGCAAACTCCGAGGCTCATGCAAAGTTTCGTATAAATCCGGGATTGAGAAGTATCGCTCCCGATGACTACGAAACTAGATTAGTTATAATGTGCACGTAAACAAATTGGAAATTTACGGAAGTGAACCGGAGCACGGGGATTCACTCTATTAAATTAAACCTCGATCCCCTCGTACTTCACCATTTTCAGGAGATCAAAGTTCCATTACTTTTTCACTAAATTAACATAATTTTAGAATTCATACACTGAACTTAATTAACTTATTAATGAATACAATTTAAAAGTGTATTAAATTCTTAAATTAAATTTCCGTTTTAGTTCAATTGATGACGTTAAGTTACAGATTATGAACTTAGATAGTTGGAGTCGTATGTATAATTTTTCGAACAATCAAAATGGTATAGAATTACGAAATATGGAGTTAAAGACGAAGTTTCTGGTTCTTCGTATATTAACAGTATTCACTATCATAAATTTAATATTTTTTCGGAAAACTAACAAAACCCTTAAGGCGGAGTCTGGTGTAAACGGGCTAAAAATTCGTTTATTTTTACCTGTTTACACGAGGCTCCTCTCTAAAGTGGACCTACTCTCGAAACAAGAGTTCGTTCCACTCAATCCTCCCCTCGAGAGAAATATCCAGGCGCTACATGTCCCATGAAGAGGACAACGATCCAGACAAACGAATTCAGTTTCCCGTCGCTAAAGTATTCAGCGTAGTAACGAACGCGTTAATTAACCAAGAACAATTCTGCACTGTCCGTTGTCCTCTGTCTCCAATGCGCTCGCCTACTCAAACATTATTTATCCCATTCATCCACGTTGAAAGACACCCTGGAGGGGTGGGGACAATGAATGTTCCTCCTCTTTTTGATCCACCTTTTCTTACGTATCTTATATTTTCTTATGTACGTTATCTTTTCTTATCGTCAGACATTGGGGGTTCTTTGCCGACGGATGAGTTGTCCGGTGGTTCGAGTTCGACAGGGGCCGTGGGAGCAGGTGTGTCCACCATCGGCGGCGTTGTCGGTCCGGCGACCAGCCAGGCCAGCCCCGACAAGGATCAATCGGTGTCCGTGTCGTCTGTCGTTACATCGGCGCCGACCCCGAAGTCCAGCCAACCGGCGAGCACCACCTCCGCGGCAACACCGACCCCGACACCAACGCCGACGCCCACACCTACCTCGACACCGGTACCCGGAGGCCTCGTCGTCGAGAGGAGCCCATCCGCCGTCAGCGACGCCTCCAAGAGTGGCTCTGACATGGTGGTAAGTGTCCACGGTGGCTCCTTTTTCTTTGACAGCTATTTGGGAAGTATGACAAAAAATGAGACGATGTGGATGTCTTTATTTCTATTTGATATTCATAGTACAATTTCAACTCGGCTGTCTTATGTATTATGCATTGTATCGTGGAAGGGCCAGTTACCCGAAAAATTAACGAAACATAAACCGTGGTATGATAATTAATTCTATCATCATAGCTGAATGTCAGTCGGTCAGAACGCGGCGTAATAAACGCCGCATAACTGGAATAATTAATACAAACATTGCTTCTCCCTAAATACGTAGAATTTACACTCTGCGATGGCAACTCGCTGTTAAAGCACACCACAATTCGCTGGATTCGATCCGACATTTACGTACACTATCGATTTTCCTCTGTCGGTTATTGGAATTGCGAATGAGTGAATTTGTTTCCACCGTGTGCAGGTAATAATTTTCGTTCGTTAGGATGTAACGAATTAATGTAAATCACGTCGAATTGCGGCGTGATTATTATATCGAGTTTCCTTTCTCTGGTTGCGTGGGATCTGTACGTGTTGAATTCCACCGACGGATGTTACGCGAATTATGGGGTTTTGTATCGTAACTAGTAATACGCGTTCCAATTTCCGAACTAAATAAATGTTCTTCATGTTCTGAATTGAAAGACAAATTGGTCTCTATAAAATCACATTACAAGTACATACTGCTTTTATTTTTGTCGTTAGAAATATGGTCATATACTGAAAAATTATACTTCCTAAAAGGAAAACACTTTTCTAGTATTATAACACTAAATTTTTTAAATATTTTTCCTATTGTATACAGTATTATGCAGTACTGTCCACAACATTACACGTTCTTCCCATAAGTCGTTTATTCTTGTATCAAATTGCTGGAAAATTAATGGCAGGTTATCACCCATATCTATATGTGTTACATGCACGGATAAAAATACTATTCATTCAGTCCACTTTAACCCTTTGCACTCGATTGTCCCCTAATAACAAAAATTGAAGAAATTCTCCAGATTCGGTAATTCTAGCACTGAGAATCGTAACCGTAAAGTGTTCAAACAACCATGTATTTTCCAGCAGGCGTAACAGAATTAGGAATCGTGCGTCTCGATTGGCGAACGGAATTAACGTCGATACTTTGTTATAACCTGTCGACGATCAGAGTGCCTCTCTGTTCTCGAGGGAACGCCCGTTTGAAACAGACGTTCTCTGATTAACATCGGCGTACGCCTGATAATCGCTTAATAGCATTACGATTAGATAGCGTTCGAGTCTGTTTGTCATGCATCTGCATAATCGCGTCGTTTCCACGGACTGCGGATGATCGAGCTGCAAATCGTTTGCGTTCAAACGAAGGATGATTCTCCGTTCAGACAGGGCACACGAATATTCCTAACGTACAGAACGTTACAAAATGCATGGAATAGTTTGGGTGGATCTTGCGTGAAATTAATACTTTAAAGTATTAGATTGATTGGGTAAACGCACTAATTAATGAACACTTAACCCCTTAAAATTTGTTGAACAGTGTCATTATTTGGTCCACATTTTTCTTTTCTATTCCACAGTACTCTCACATCACTCGTTAATGCGTCCGTGACTCATCCCCGGTTAAAATGAAAACAAACAGAGCTCTCGAAAGAAAAGTGTCTTTGCCCGTTAACGATTCCGTGATCGACCGGTTCCATCGACCACGTGTACGCTGGTTAGGCAAACACTCGCCTGTAATGTTCCCCATCCATCTCGGGTTTCGTCGGTGAAAGGTCGACTCGACGGTTCAAGGAGGCGTCTCGTTCTTCCTTTGTACCTGCTTTGTGTCCCCTCGAGATGGAGTGGAAAGGCGAGCAAAGATTCGTGGTTCGAGCCGCGGTGTCGCGATAAGATCTCGATCGATCGTCCTCATAATTGGCCTGATTCGGCCACGCCGTGTTTTTCACCGTGGATGGGGATGCCTTTGACCTGTCGTACCCGCCCTTATCTGGGGTTTCCTCGTCTTCCCTCGATCACGGTAATAAGAACAGGGAGCTTGCGGTGAAAATAGGATTATTGGAGGGGAGTACCCTTCTATCTTGCTCCTGGAATCTTCTTGGGGGAGGAAGGGTTATCCTCCATTACAACTTCAACTGACAGTAACGATTTTCTTATCGTTTAAATCTCGGGAATACTTTGTCTTGTTGTATGTTATTTTTTTTAATAATAATATCTTGTAATTATTTGATTCGATGACGTGTTAAATTTATGTTTCCGTGGCTTCGAGCAGCGCTAGCAAGTGGATGGGGTATGTGATTGGTCTGACGTATTTGATGGTTTTCTTCAGAAACAGATGTTTTTCTTTTGTTTCGTTATAGAGGATGTTTCATTTACTTTGACCAGCACGAAAATCGCGTGGAAGTAGTAGTACAATCTATGACCGTGTACTTTTATACTGGCTGAGAGAAATGAAATATCGTGTATATTATTGTGAAGTCTTGTATTGCCTTGGATTTTTGTTGGTCAAGATAAATGAAACACCTTGTACATGTCATTGCTATAATGTTCTCTTTAGTATGTTTTACGTAAGTTTTGGTGTATTTATTTTATGCATGTCTGATAAAAAATAGGCTCGTGAAATTTTACTCGTCTGATCACAAAAAGCCTGTTCTACTTGTCCGACTACATACTGTAGTACATTCTACTGTGCAATCTGTCGAGGGAATATGTTTATTTTACTTGACATATTCGAATCAGTTTCCTCTCCCGATTTGTTTCACCGTGCACAATCGTGATTTCAATTGTAGGATCTAGAAATCTTGATGTACTACGTAATCCTATATCAAGTAATCCCTAAACAATCCCTCCCACTATTCCAACTATGTACAGATTCTGTATGTTCCACTTCTGTGGACTGAGAACATCGTTATTTCACTCGGCTGGTCCAAGAACATCCGTATTTCACCTGTCCGACCGGAAAACGTGCTTATTTCACTTGTCTGCCTGTATATTATTTTCTCCACTGATTCGTGAGATCCTATACATTCCTTATTTCGTGTTCTGAACTAAGAACTGCTTCGTATATTATTCTGTTTTATCAGAAATTCTTTTTATTCCACGTATCTATAGACAAACTGTCTGTATATTATATGTTGGACTAACACTTCTATCATTATGTCTGAGCATGAACGATCCTCATTCTACACGTATAATTGATAATTGTCTATATATTCTATTTGTCTTACCACAGAACCTCTCCTCGTAATTCGTTTAATTAAAGACTGTTTCGTTTAACAATGTGTCTGACCATGAAACCCCAATGTTATTGTCTCAATTAACAATTTCTTCTACCAATATGTCTGACCATAGACGGACTTCATTTCACTGTTCTAATTACAAATACTCTACAACTCGTTTCTTCCTATATGCTATTTTTACTCTACCTGTCTAACATATAATTCTTGACTGTCTGATCAGACACTGGCGCGTTCTACTTGGCTGAACAGTACTGATCCGTTCAGGGACCAAAGTGACTAAATTCCGTTTTTGAATTTTTTTTAAATTCCAGTCCCATATCGCTTGATTGGTGCTCAACTTCTGATATTTAGAATAAATTTAAATTAAATTAAAAGTTTAAATATAAATTTTGTGGAGTTAATCACTCTGCCAAATGAATTCCTCACATAATGCTGAACAATACCCACGTCATACGTAGTTAATTTCAAACAATCCGGTTCGATCTACTTCACTGTACACACACAGACAATAGGGGGGCTTAGTGGAAGAGGGCCACATGCCACAATACTATAAACTTACACAACTACTTTTAGGAAAAATAAGGTTAGAGCTTATTGATAGTACAAAAAAAACTAAAAACCGATATAGATGTGGCATGCGCCCCTTTTCCACTGAGCCCCAAAATTTTATTACATAAATCGTGTGAACAATTCTCGTTCGTTGGGTAGACAGTCGAACGCGTCGACAACTAATAACCCAGCCCATTCGCTGACGTCTAACACGTCTGCGGCTAATCTATTCTCGTATTTGTACATCAAACACATCCCCCTCGAATCGCCTTCTTATACGCGACGATATGTTTACCTTCATCAGAAGCCGTATCGTTCTCCGTATAATCACGTGTCTGTGAAACTTCTAACTTCTCGAGCGTGAACACCCACGTCGTTTCTCTCCCCCTCCCTCCCTCCCTCCAGGCTCTATGAATTTACCGCGGCGTGTTGCCCGTTCGATGGTTGTTTTCTTGGAGCGCAAACAGCCCCGAATAAATTCGTTAGAAAGTTGCTCTTCCGCCACATAAGTTACGATCAAATTACCCTCCGAAGCGAGGCTTAATCGCATCAAATTTCTCGTTGCTTACTTTACCCACGGCCCGTTTGCTTAAGGGGTTAGATCGGCCTAACGGTCGGGAAATATTAGACGAAGTTTCTGATTTCTTTGTTTTTTGTTCCTCGTCGGATAATTACACACCATAATGAAACTTTTTTCGAATATCATTGGAATGCCACCGGTAGTATTGCAACGTTTCGTAATGTTCGACAAGATATAAGTTTTAGGAAAATAATTTTTGTCGTTAATCTGTGTATTGTTGATAGAGCAAATATAAGTGCTTTTTATGGTGGTCTATCGCGTTACACTGTGGGCACTCCCTTTGTCGGTCGACGCCCTCTGAGGAAATATTTAGCTGTTGCGTGATAAATGTCGTCCTCGAACTACAGAGTGTAGGTAATCATCAGTTATCTCGAGGAGAACGGTTTTTCATTCAAACAAGAACTGAGTCTACAGTTTTGCCAAAGAGTTACTAGCCTTGATCCAGTATTTAACAATTTTAAGATAGCTGTATTCTTATATAAATAATTAGAAATTGTCTTGAAAAAAAAAAACGATTTTTCAACGAAGCATGAACCGTGTCAATGCTCTTGCCAAAGAGTTATGGAGTTTCTTGGTGGTATTGTTCAACGATTTCATGATGGCTGTTGCGAAACCTGTAGAACACATTTACTATGCAACAAATCGATAGCCAGTAGTACCATAAATAATATATCCTTACACGATCACGGAAGCATTAGAAGTCCTGCACTATTCTGGAAGCAATCACGTTAAAAGGGATAACTTTCTAAAGGTACGGACTTAAACTTTTAAAATGGCGCATGGGGTAGTTAGACATAGCTTAGGTAAAAAATTCATGTCTCCTGTTAGGTCATTTTGTAAGTGAAGCGGTTTCTTTCGGTATGTACATTAATGAGAATAAACAACTTTATGTCAGTAATTAGAAGTTAATATATTTTCAACTTCTGCGTTAGTTATTCAATATTTCCTGACGAATTTTGATGAAAAATTCGCAAAACGTCTTCATGTTGCTCTACGAGGTTTCCCCACCATCACATCATTTAATATATTAAGCCCTTCCCGGAACTAGGTTAGATTTGCTCGTCGTCTGTTCGAATTTTCCATTAAATGTGGAAATAAAATTCCGACTCCATGTCAGAAGTCTGCTAGTGGTCGTGAGCCCTTAACCTCGGAATCAGGGCGTTCGAACAATTCGTCGACGTAATCAAACGTTCCTCGCCTCGGTACCGCAGAAATCGATGGAAAGGAATTCATGCTCTCGTCGTGGCTCGGCGACCAGGGGAATAAGGGAGAAGCAATAAGCCTCGTGCGGATCGTTAATTTTTTCTTCTTCGATAATGAGACCTCGAATGACTCCGTCGCCACCGTCTGACAAGAAACGGCGACCTGAGCGATGCAGAGGACACGATCGTCATTTCGCCACGTACCGGTTCACGTTTGCCGGGAGAACGATTATTCGATCAGCGCTCGGCCGTTGGCCGTTTCGTTAACGATTCCGGTGACGTTCGAATATTAACGAGGCCGACGTGACGCGAGGCATTGAATTGCTCGTTCACGTCGATCGAACAACCTGCGCTTTCCGTTCGGTCAATCTCGAATAACTGCGGTTTCGTCGCGGAACATTCAACGGTTGTAATTTCGGACGTTGCCGTTTCGTTTTCGGGGTGACGGGGAATTGTCGGAATAGCGATTACAATCCGGCCAATTCTTTTTTCTTCGCGATGAGGGTCAGATTGTGCGGTTTCAAATGCAGATTGTTTGACAGTATTTTATATTTTCTGTGTCGAATAGTTTGAGAGATATTGCGGAAAATGTATTTTTTTTTTGCGCACCCAACTGTAAGGGCTGTTTTCACCACCTAGATATGGATTTCTATTAATATTTTTCAGTGCAACGCCTTTGTATAAAATTTTATTCAAATCGGTACGTTACACTTGAGTGATATCCTTTGTAAAGTTGAAGTCTGGGTTGAAGTTTAGGATGAAGTTTGGGTTGACGTTTAAGATCGTTTGATCCAGGTTCCGGTCCAGTTTTAGGTCGAGGTTTCATTTCCACTTCACATTCAGTCTTAGGTCCGGAGGTTGGTATTTAGGTTCTCCTTGAAGATCCCTTTTTAATGCACATTCAGGTGTAGTTATAGATTAAAATTCAAATTGATTTTTAGATTCATGCTCTGCTTATGGTGAACGTTCGGGTTTAATTTGAGGTTTAGTATGACATTAAAATTTATTTCTTTTTTCGGTTCAACTAAAGTTGGGCTAAAAAGAGTTCAATCGACAAAAAATAAGTTGATCTGAAGTGTCTTCTCAAGTAGGGATAAAATGGTTTTCAATACCAAAAGCTATTTTATTGTCGATTAGAATTCCACGATTTATTTGTTTTGAACTGGAGCCGAGTAAGTAAACGTTTCGAGATACTTGGAGTGGTTGTTTAAATAATTCTTCAACGTAATAAAGGAGCAGCGACCGATAACAGCGTCGCCAAGTGCGGTTCCTATTATCGAGAAATAAATTCAAGATTGCCTCGAGCTAAGATTTTCAATAATTGGTTTCCTCGAACGAAACGGGCGTGATAAACTAGGTTAAAGCTTGTCTTCCGCCTCTAAATCGATCAATAATAATCGTTGCTTCGGTTAGAGAAAAAACAATGTGTTTGCTTGCGATAAATAACGAACTAGTAGTCACAGTAACACAATTTCTCCAATGTTTCAATGACATTTGAAGAAGTTCCGCACTACCGATCGGCAAGAAATGTTCATCGATGATTTATTGTATTTAACTTTATCTTACACATTTCTATTTTTCAACCATGTCTGATTCAACAGTTTCCTACTCCCATTTCCCACCAACAAAAGCCATTGTACCCTATAAAATCACTATACATGACAATACCCGTTTTTCTCTTACCCTCCGTATCTGAACACGTGTCTGATTAGATCCTATTAGCGATTAAAATGAACCCAGCCGTCGTCTTGAATGATACGAGGATTAATCGTATTAGACATTAGGGGCAGAAGAAGTTTCTTTACGAGCTCGGCAAACATTCTTACCAACCTGACGAAGAACACCGCAACGTGACATGATTCCTTCCATGCTCCCTGGCTTCTCCTTTTCATCTTTTTTTTTCTTCTTCTTCTTCTTCCGGACGCTTTGATGAGAACTATTGACCCACATCCCCCTTTCTCTCTGTCCCTCTCGTTCGCCGGAATCGTCCAAGTTCTTAACGCTCCCGCGAACTCCGGCCCGATAATTAAAAAACTTCCTATAGTTAATTACGGTGTTTACACGGTAGCGTAGAAATGCTTTATCGGGGTATCGGGACCGTTACAGCACGGCAGTTCCCCTCTGTAAATATTTCCCGTTGCGTTTTCCGCGGAAATCGGTCCGCAGAGAGGGAGAGAGAGACCTTCTGCGAGGACTCGGGGAAACTGGGACGAGGTGTCTTTCATTTCCAGCTGGAACGTAGAGAAAATCGACGGGGGAAGAACTGACATATCTTTTCGTGTTGTACATAATCCTTCTAAAATAAACGTATCCGTGAAAACAACGTTACAATATTGTAAATAAAAATATTGTACATAAAAGTTTCGTGGCGCTTGTTTGACTATATTTGTCTGTAAACTGTTAAAGATCGATAAAATTAAGGGACACTATAGAACGTTTTGGTTCGATCTGTTGCAGCTGAACACGGAATGGGCACAAGTTGAAGTTATAAATCTCATAAACGATGGCAGCGGTCTTGGATTCGGTATCGTCGGCGGACGCAGCACTGGTGTCGTGGTTAAAACCATCCTTCCCGGCGGCGTCGCTGATCGGGTGAGTTTTTCCTCGACAAAGTACAATAAAAATTCACATCTACATAAAGTATTTTACATAAAATGTGTAAAATACATAGAATGAAGTTTCTCCATGGGATTCTTCAATTTCGGTAAAAGGTCGCTGTAAATCAATTCGGCGCACGTACAGAGACCTAAAGCCTCCTACGAAACAATTTATTCAGTACTTTTTTTTTTCTTCACTTTCTACGCAGAATCAGATTCCATAACTGATTCTCCGCCCTCGATGCATATTTATGACCAGCCAGTCGATATTTATGCAAAGTTTCATTTTTTAAAGCTATTCCAATATATTTATATTCGCTGTTATATACATTTTACTGCGAGAAAAATCCAAGATTAAAATCTCCGTTATAATCAGAATACATAAATATTAAAATTTTCGTAGATTCTGTTAATTTTTTACTCGTAGACGTTAGGAATGCACAATCTCAATTCAATGCACCATCAATCTTTACTGCGTTAATAATAACACAAAAATAGTATTAAACCTTATCGAAATTATCATTTTATTACAATTTCCAAGTTAAGGGACGCTATAAATGCATACACATCCACATAACTTATATCGTTCTAATCATCATTCCAAGAGTGTACTAACAAGTCATTTCGACTTGTTTGGTAGTTTCAATTTTTAATACCAAAAAATCTCCCATATATCTAACAAAAAATGATGCCCGACAATTTTCAACTAATTAACCCCAACCGAAATTTCGCTCGTTAATCGAGAAACGCAAGGGAGGTCGGAAAAATCCGCTCAAAAGCCAACTGGCTGCTGCTTTTTTTCCTTGTTTTTTTCGTTTCATATTCACAGAGCAGATAAACTCTCGGGGGATTTCATCGAAAACCCGGGAGGCGTCCGGCCAATCACGGTTTATCCGTTTCGTGAAATTAATGCAAAAGACGGTCTCGCGCGTGAATTCATGCATTCGACGGCACGGCTATCGAGTTTTCCGACGGATGGAACAAAAACACGAACGGAGGGATGGAAAAATGGGGTGGAAAAAGCGTGTGAGAAATAATAGGGGGGACGATTGCGTTCGTTAGGCAGTGTGGCGGCCGTGGACCGTCGGTTTTTGTGTATTTAAACATCGTTTGCAATGCGAATCGCAGGATAATCGGCTGCAGAGCGGGGACCATATATTGCAAATCGGCGATGTCAATCTACGGGGAATGGGAAGTGAACAGGTCGCCGCGGTTCTGCGACAATCCGGCACACACGTGCGCCTCGTTGTCGCGCGACCTGTGGAGCCGACATCGCCCGATTATCAGGTACGTTACTTTATTCAATGTATTGTTTTTTCGATTCTTTAACGTTTATTCTTTTTATTCTGACCATTCAGTGCTGAACCTTTTATTCTTGAATTATTTACAACCGTCCCTGGATTTACGCGGAGTATTCGTTCCATTTAGTTTTTTTTTTTTAAATAAATATTTGTGTAACTAATACTGCCTTTTCTCTTCAGAATCTTTTTTCGTACACGCAGGTTTTTGTCCGCATAAAGAAGAACCACACGGAGCAAACACTCCGCGTAAATCGTGGGACGGGTGTAATAATTAAGAAAAAAAATTATATTGCACCTTTGTCTGTATTGCATGACATGTAAAGTTTACTCACAGGAATATTTTTACGTTTTTAAGAATTCAACTGTTGAACTTCAAGAAATATACCTTCTATTCTGGGAACGAAATTAGCGAAACGAATTTACCGAACAAAATATCGAGCAATATTATTCTTATATTATCGCCTAAATTGTCTTTGAAAATTATTAAAAGCGTCCCCCCTCGCAGGATTCATAAAGGATTTCCGACCAAAACTTGCCGCGCGCGCCAAAAAGAACACGACACCAGGGACCCTCTTACTTAATTATTATTTGCTCCGTTCTGTACCCTCGAAAGTGCTAATGAAATAGGTTAATCGAGTTTTCTCTAAAATTAAATTACATTAGGGCGCTTTGGTTAAATGGTCGAGCAAGGTTTGTTTGTACAGTAAATACGTTATAATTGATCACCCTTTGGCATGTCCTTCTTGGATCCATAAATTCACAGAGGTCTTCAAAATATTTTCATCCAGAACGTTTTAATCACATTCAAGCTCTAACACACCTTTCAGCGATACCTTTTTTTGCAGACAAACATAATCTATTCATTTTAAAAAAAATTTTCTAAACGTCTCCTAAACTGGATTCCAAACAGAAACAGTTTATTAAAAATATCAACTCAGTGCATATTACATTGCAACTTTTCAATACAATTTGCGTTTAACTGTATGCACTTGTCCCAGCGCGAAATTACTTTCTTTTTTCTTTCGAAATTTAGTTATCCACGATAAACACTTAGCACCGTCGTTAAATTCCAATGGTTCACGATATCGTGGCCTGGGTGGAGGAGAATGAATTTTTCGAATGATTCAGAGATATGTACCAATTCGGATGGTGCGTTCCAGGCACTCGGCAGCCACGCTCCGATCGTACCGACGAAGATTCTGGGTGACCCCGATGAGCTGGATCGCCACCTGGTGCACAGCGTGCCGGAGACGTATAACATACGTCACGTGCAGCCCGATACCGGTTACGACAACGGCTACATGTACTCCCAGGAATCCGACGTCGAAATACACGTGAGTGTTCGGAACGTTTCGGTATCGATGGACAGGAATATTTCAGCTCGATTACAGCTGGCCCTCTGGGCTCTGTATCTCTCGTATTTCCCCCGATATATTTCATTTATTTCTACTGGGTGGAAAAGTCTGGTACACTGTCGGGGATCTACAACGAGGAAAATTCTGTTAGCTCTGGAAGATCATGGTGCTGGTTCACTATTCACCGATTCCTTGGTGATCTCTACTTTTTTTCGTTTGCCTCAATAAGTATTGGGTTATATAAGTTTACAATAAGTTTTATGAAGATGGCATTTAAAAAATCGTGGAACGGTGAGAAATAGTAATTACGTCATTGATTAAGTAAACCACTTTCTGTAGAAACAATGCAGTGGAATTTATTTAGAATGAAAACGAACTTTCCGTTCGACCCAATATAGTGGGGACATTAATGTGGCGAAATGGGGACACTGATAGGGATATAATAAGAAAAAGATTATGGTGGTGTTCATCGTTGCTTGTTCTTCTAGAGGTTCCAATTTTAATTGAATGGACCATAAAATGGGCAGCACTAATTAACGACGAAGGTAAAGTCGAGAAATTAACGTGGGCAAATTGGGAAGGCTATCAGAGATAGAGCGAGGGTACTCTTTTTAGCTCTAGAGCTTATGGTGCTGTTACTTATTCTTCTAGATGTTCCACTTTTAGTGGATAAATTAACATGGACAAATTGAGGACGCTATTAGAGATACACTAACAGTAGTTCGCTAAGCTCGATGGCTTATAGCGCTGTTCATTAGTCCACTGATCCCTATTTCACTATAGTGGCCCGTAACATGGGCAGCATTTATAAACGAAGAAGTGAAGTAGAGAAATTAACGAGGACACATTAGGGCCCCCATCATAGATGCAGTTGGAGTAGTTTTCTAAGCTTCATAGCTTATATTGCTGTTCCTCGTTATTTATTCTTTTGAACGTCTCACTTTTCATGTAGTAGACCATAACATAGGTAGCATTTATAAATGAACTAAAGTAGATAAATTAACGTGGACAAACTGGGGACGTTATCAGAGATGGAGTGCAGGTCCTTAGTTCTAAAGTGTATGATGCTCTTTATAACATTACTTAGAGTATTAATGGTTCCATTTTGAGACTGGTCCACGATGCTCACAGACTCTGGACAAAATTTATCTTTCCTTCTTGAGTTTCTTTATCTTCATCTTTCAGCCTAATGACGTTTGCGTCAGGTTTCTTTTTGTTTTTTCAAAGAATTACTATTCCATAGGCAAGACCCGGTCTCATCATGGACGTAGTACGCAATCCCATGCCAATTGGAGCGATGCCAGTGATACCGGCGGTTCCGGTGCAAATCCCGGAGCTACCGGTCCTCACCATGGACACCATCGACGTTAATTCACTGCCTGAAATGGAACGTTTCACTGTCGAGCTTAAGAAAGATATTTACGGCCTTGGGATCACCATTGCTGGATACGTATGCGAGAAGGGTAATCCTTTAAACGATCACAATATACCTTCTTTCCGTGTATCATCTCACGAGGACACAAATTAGCGAATAGGATCTCATGTAATAAAAATATTGTCCGTGTAGACCATAGTTTCCCAATCTTTTGTGGCTCTCCGCCCTCATCAAAATTTTTGTTAAGTGCCAAAAAATAAAAATTCCATATGTAGTTCCTAACGTTTGCAGTAACAATATAGATAATATCATGCTTACGCTCTTAGTAAGATGTTCGTGTGGTACCACATGGTCGAAAATCATCTGGTAAACCGATGAATTTAGTGTTCATGATTTCAGAGGTTTTTCAGTTAAATTATCGAAATGGTTCTTCTATTGCAGAGGAGCTATCTGGTATCTTCGTGAAGAGCATCAGCGAGGGCAGCGCGGCCGACCTGAGCAACAAGATTCAAATAAACGATAGGATAGTCGAGGTGGACCGCCATTCTTTACAGGGTTACTCGAATCACGAGGCTGTCGAAGTTTTAAGACGAACAGGGCAGACGGTTGTTCTGTGCCTGGAGAGATACTTACGTGGACCAAAGTACGAGCAGCTTCAACAGGCGATCGCGGCCAGCGAGCTGAGACTACCTCAGCCGAGTTCACCGTCGATAACCAGTCTACCTAGCTTCCCTATTAGCGCCGTAAGTGTCGTTTACGTGAAAATATCGTCTATTCAAATTCAAGGAGATGCCATTTTTCTTAAAGACCCTTCTATGCAGCGTGGATCGCATACGAACTTCCACTCTGAACTTTTCGTTCAGGTGTAACCGCCATTACGGCAAGAAGCATCACCCGTAGTGATCGTTCATTACCCGGTACACAGACGGTTAATTAAAGATCCAATCAACTGACATGGACCGGTATGTCAGGTGCAGGATTCGAAACTAAAAAGTCTAGACACGTCGATGCGCTAAACATGCCACTCCTCGACTGGAAATATTCAGTCGTAGATCGATAACCCATTTAACGGTGTGTGTATGTGTGTCCATCTGTCGAGTATCATCACGTGCTCAATGTATTCTGTCGCAGGACGGTGAGACCACCACCGAAATAGAACCGGAAGGTGAATCGCACACAACCGTGGACAGCGCGGTCCTCCACGAGGGTGAACGTGAAAGGACATCGGACGAGCTGGACGACGCGGCGAACGTGGAAGCTCTATTGAGCGATCCATCGAGCGATCTTACGCCACAGATCCGGGCTGCCATCAAGTCCAAATGGCAGAAGATCGTCGGCCCAGATACCGAGATCGTGGTATGTATTCTAAAAAAAAAATTCCTTGAATATGAAATAAGTGAACATTTTGATGAGTTCTATCCGGCAGGCATAAAATAGACCCCCTATGTATCATTGATTTTTTTTATGAATACTAAGCTCGTACAAAATTGTGTTCTACGGTTAACGAACTATTATGACCGTAGGAGAAGAAAAATAGTTAAGGAATGCTTGATTTTGGGATTGTCAATAGGTGGCGCAACTGAAGAAATTCGCAGAAGGTAGCGGTCTTGGGATAAGCCTGGAAGGGACAGTGGACGTGGAGAACGGGCAGGAGGTCAGACCCCATCATTACATACGATCGATCCTACCGGAAGGACCCGTGGGACAGAATGGAACGCTGCGTTCGGGGGACGAATTGCTGGAGGTAATGTTGCAAACGTGCTTACCAATTTCAATTTTGTTGTCTTGCGTTTCATGTAATCCGAATTAACGCCTTTGGCGGATTGGGGCTCGCTGCAAACTTGAAGTTTCATACACCAAGTTGTACTAACAAGTAATTTAAAGAGAATGTTTCATAATACGAGGATATAGTTTATCATCGAATGCCTTAGTTCATGGTAATTCCCATAAGTCAGTAATATTTTATCGTAGATACCAAAAATACTCCTAGAATGAAAGACGTCTAGAGGACTAAAGATTATTTAGTATTCAAATGGCTCGAAATACACTTATTAAAAGTTGTATTCTTTTTGTGGTTCGTAAGGTGAACGGATATCGGTTGCTCGGTATTAATCATATGGAAGTAGTTAGCGTGTTAAAAGAATTACCTATACACGTTCGGATGGTTTGCGGGAGGAACATCGCGTCGCAGGATCCTCTGTGCCCGATCGATACTGCTCAACATCAGGCTGCGTTCCAGACCAGGGTAAGACGTTGAATATTCATTGATTATTTAGATGAGGTTCAGGATAGCTTTAATCGTCGTGCACTCAAGTCAATGCGATTCAAAGTGGGATTACAGACGTTTATCAGTTAATTTAATAGTAACACTTTACCTATTTATAAATGATCACTGTATTTTAATTTCATTTCGACTTTTGACGAAGTTAATGCAAAATAATGGTACGGTAATTGTTCAAACGATTACACGAGGGTTAAATTGTACAAAATACGATATTTATCTCATAAATAATTTAAAAATAGTGAAAGTGAAGAATTGAAATGTATAGAGAATTTTTAATTGAACGAAATTCTACTTATTTTGTTCAGAGCATTCTGGGTGGATCGCTGCAGAACTTGTTGCCAACGATGGATCGCCTTGTGAAAGCGAAGTCTGATGGTTCACTGGCTTCGACGACAACCACGGCCACCGTGACCGACGCCAGTTTAAACAAGATGAAGTCACGTTCCTTGGAACCGCTGACTGGCTTGGCGATGTGGAGCTCTGAACCGCAAATCATCGAATTGGTAAAGGGAGAGCGGGGCCTTGGGTTCTCCATTTTGGATTATCAGGTATACAGTAACTCACTTCCCTTGTCTTTTCAGTATTCTTACCCTAGGATTTCAGCACTGAAAATCTTGCCTAATCAAATCCATTATCCCACATTTATTTAAAAATACATAGCTGGAGGGCACTGTGGCTCAGGTGGTTAACGGATTGGTCGATCAACCAAGGAACCTTATACCATCAATTGTTTGAAGAGTTTTGATCAGAGTTCACATTCTCAGTCGCCCAGTATTCCCTCTTTTTCCTACGTTCCTAAAATTTCCTTATATTTTATACAGGCTGTTTCATTTAAGTGTGACCCCCCGAATGTGTTTTTAATTCTGAAAATGCAAAAAAATATTTTACACGTAATTTGAATAGTATTAAGTGGTCCTGTAATCCTGCAGGCATTTTTTTTTAAATAACTATACATTTTTCCTATGATATGACCGTCAAACGACCTTAGACCCCGAAAATGAAGGTTAACGATGGCTTCGAAAACGTGAAGAAATATTCAAGCAAGATACTGACCACTTAATATCATTCAAACTTACGTATAATATATATTTTTTGCATTTTCACAATTGAAAAACATATTCGAGGGATCACAAATAAATGAGGGACCTTATATAAGCAGCCACCAAGCGTGATGAAAGGAGACAGACGAGCTATATGTGTGACCCAACGAGAAATCTCTCTGCCCTTTTGCAGGATCCAATGAACCCCAACGAGACTGTGATAGTAATAAGGTCACTCGTACCTGGGGGCGTGGCCCAGGTGGACGGGCAGCTGATACCGGGCGATCGTCTGTTGTTCGTAAACGACATCGCCCTGGAGAACGCGACCCTGGACCAGGCGGTGCAGGCGTTGAAGGGGGCGCCGAAGGGCACCGTGCGGATCGGCGTCGCGAAGCCGCTTCCCATACCAGACAGTATTGTCCAGGTGAGCGATCAGGACGATCGGATCGAAACGAGCCGTGATAGGGATAACGAGGCGACCGCCTGCTCGATTCTGGATAGCCACAAACAGAGGCGGGAATATTTCAGGGAGCGGAAAGTGAACGTAATCGAGCCGCCCCATCACATGGATTTGATCGAGGGATTGAAGCATCAGCACAATCTCGTCAAATCCGAGAGCTTCTGAGCCCGTTTGTTCTTCCGTTATGAGCTACGTGTCACTGGTGCTCGAAAGTTCGATTACCGGTGGAACCGATATAGTGACTCTTTCGAGACCTAGCTGAAAGGACTGACTTGTTAAACGATCATTGCAATGAACGGGATCGTCCTGACCTCTGGTCTGTAGTGGAGAGGAGAACTGTAGGTGTCCTCTGGTCGAATGTTCCTTGTTCATTTATGCTGTGCACTAGGTCTTTGATGTATATTTAGAGACTTGGGTAATCTGGTACGGAATTAGGGAAATTTTGTGTTTGGCGAACGTGCAACTGGAAACGCTTATGTGAGTTTGGGGACGTTTATGAACCTGTTCTCCACTATAGAGGATCCAGGGTAACGTGGTCTTAAGTGACCAAATACAGAGGGGACCAGACCGGGTTTGTTTTTGAATCGTTGATGTGTACTGCTCAGGAAGTCTGTTGTTTAATGGACCAAGGGTTCTTGGAAGCAGTCACCGTGTTCGTTCCATCGTTACCGTGATTATTCAGCCTCTGTTGGACCAATGATATTGCATTCGCGAACCGCGTGTCTTCGAGACGATCGTACGGCGATTCTCCATGACCGATCGATTGTTCGCTTGACCAGGACTTGTTTTTGTTTTTCTAGAGCTCCGAATAGAGAAGACAATTTTTCAGGTATATCGGTTAGTTTCTAGGACGATTTTCCTTGGCGACTATCCGTCCATCGGCCGCTAATGCATTTTTTGACACGGTACTTTGTCACACCGATTGAAATCGGTTCGCTCTGTTTTTTTATTCTTTTGTAGAGCGAAGCTGGTAGATCGCGATTGATTCGAGTGCTCAAATAGTTTTATCGAAGTCGCGAATGGTATTAAGATAGAAGAAATGTTAATCGATTCGACGATACTCGAAACAGTCGAATCGAGATCGGTTTTTTCAATCATTTTGAAGGGAGTACGTGGTGAGGAGTATTAAGATAGTATTATGATAGGATCACGTAGGCCTGTTGATTTTTCTCCTTTATTTACACCATTTTATGTTAGCAACCTTTTTTTCGTTTCTCTTACTATAATTATAGAGTTTTATTTATGGTTACGGCACGGATTTGGTAATTTGTTTTTTAGCGAAACGAATATATAAGATTGCATTTTATTGACCAGCGTACAATATTACGTGGTTTATTAGCGAATATTCGGAATTTCATTTTTATTCTGTTTCGTCACGATTTAGGTGATCATTATTATTCCTTTTAGAGTATGTTAATTATAACGGAAGGAAATTATTTTTCTTATAAATTTAGTATACGTTTCTGCAGCGTGTATGAGTTATTGATAATAAATAGGGTGCCGTACACGTTATTTTATTTTATTTAACATTCCCCATGAAACCTTTTCCCTGTCTCCATTTCTTTTGTGTTGTCATGATCGATTTATTTTATCTTCCTCCCATACTTTTGATTTATTTATCGTGTTTCATTTATGTTACCTTTGTTTGTGTTGTAATAACCTTCGACTGTATTATTTCTGAGAAAAATTTTTTTTTAGTTAAATGTATAGCAACGAAGAATTGTTCAGATCATTCTGGCAGATCGTTCTAAATCATCTTTTTGGATGGTAGAGTAATGGAATTAATTAATTACATCTTTCATTCTTTGAATTTATATTTTTCGAAGTGAGTTTAAGATGTTTCCGGAGTCAGTAGTCTGTGGTAAAGAATTCTTTTAATCTTGAAATTTCAGTATCGTATGAAAAAGGAACATGAAAGTGAGTTTTTAAGTAATAAACAAGATAATTTAGGGTTTTATTAATTTTTGCAACACATCTTTTGGGACACCCTGTATGTCGTCAGTGCGACTGGTAATTGTCGCATGCAGCAATCTGAATCGATTTTCGGGCTGCAAGCTTAATTCGTCGTTACGTAAGCAATTAAACCAGTGGACAAATACGGGTTGTGTTTATCAACGCTGTGCTTGTGATACAGTCGACAATATTAAATTCATATTTCGTGAAATTACTCGATTATTTCAAACATTATGAAACTCATTGTGATTCGCCGAGAAAAACTTTAGTTTACATCGTTAGGAATACTACAAATAGAAATTACAAAACAAAAATAACGTCGACAATACACACTACTCACATTTCTGTAAGGGAACTAGACAAATCGAATTCATATTTAGTAGTAATCGATGGTGATTCGTATAGTTTGAGCGGAAAATACTGACTGTTCAAGGTCATTTTCATCACCCTGATAACACATTCGAAAATTGTAAAGTGCCTTGCATTTCGTAACAAACTACAGTAAATCATCGATGAGTGTTTGAATGCTCCTCGGCATTGAACATTAAATATTTCATAAACTAATGACTGTATGCGGTCGAAACAAATATTATTACCAAATATTATTCCATGCTAATCCTCATTAAAAAATCAAGGTCACACCTGGGGACTTCTCCTTGTCTGAGCCTTCGATGATTTACTGTAATCACAAAAGAAAATCGTTTATTCGACCCTCTTCGTACTCCTCCATTTTGAATCTTCCACTAATTTTCCAATAACTAACCACACATCATTTAAATGATCCATATCACTTTTGGCCATTTATCAGCGTACACATATATGTTCACCGACGAGCAAACTCAGCTTCCGCTAGGGTAGAAAGTGGCGTAGAATAAACGTCTCCTTACCACTTCGTTAATTTATTTTAAGTACTGAAATAAACGTTAAATCGAATATTAATTTGGCATGCATTTCAGTAATTCTAAATACCAAATGGTAGGAGGCCATTTCCCTACGTTACTTTTTCCCCTAGCGGAAGCCGAGTTTGCACGTCAGTGTACGTACTCCCCAAAGATACGAGCATGGACGATCCATTTCTTCCCCCGTCCGCCTGACATCAAGTCGGCCGCGATAAGAGGCCGAGTGCGGTTCAGTGGCCTTGATCCGTCAGACACCTTCCGCCGTCCAAGCTATCGATCCATCGATTTCGCGTGCTTTTCAATCGTATCAGAGTCCAATATCGACGACTGACTCCGGCCGCGATTCGTCGCTTCGAAGTTCGTCGCGACGGAACGCGGTGTGTGTGGTTCCTTTATTGTCAGAGGTTCTTGGACAATTGGAGGTGACTCCAGGGCCATCGTACCTGGATAATAACAAAGTTATCGGTAATAAGATTGTCGGGGAAGGAGCCTGAGAAACCTGGCACGAAAAGGCAACCGTTCACGCGGCAGGAACGTGTGACTCCGGGAAGTGCCGCGCGCGACTCCTCTACATATATGGCCACGATGGCTGATATCCATCCGTGTGTGTCAGAATGCGGGAAGATGTAGGGAGAAAGAGAGAGAAAGGGAAAAAGTAAACGAAAGACGACGGTCGCGGGCGTGTCCACGGGAACGTTGAATAATGATTACGGGTTTCGTATCGGGGTTTTTGTGTGATTACCGTGGCGACCATCGACTAAGTAAGTACTGAACAAAACGATTGTAATAGTGAATGAAAGTTGCCTGGTAGAGTAGCTGAACAGAACGATCGCGGTATCCTGCATTCGACTCAATGACTCTGTTCTCACCGTTCCTTCCGTTAGATCCGATTGTCGCGCGATTGTACGGCGTTGAGACTGTTGGAACGGCGATGCATTCGTTTTTGTCAATATTTGTGTCTGTGGAGAATGGGTTTGGAGATATGTTTACTGGGTTGCCGGAGGAATGTCTGGTTCGCTACTTTGAGTAAGCTATCCTGTCATTGGGTCGAGGTTTTAGGGTATCGATGAATTCTTGTACGGGTAGACCTAAAGGATATCGTTATGAGGATTATTTCACTGAGAAGATATTGTTACAGAAAGATGTACAGTTTAGCAGGAATCCACAAACCCTGGATCATCTAGATACATTCACTGGCGGACCAACATCTAGGAAGATTTTAGAATAAGTGTTGTTTTCATTGAAATAGGAACCTATAGGCCAAGGATAGTCATAGTAGCTATTACTTAAACATTGTAATGGTTCTCCAAGCTCGTTATTCTCCACAGACAATAATTCGGCGTAAACGAAAGCGAGTCGCCTCTCACCCCATACACTCGCGCGTCCAATCAAACACAAACGAACAAACATACACAAGCAAACGTTGCATTCGAGTAATCTTCTTTCTTTGTACATATTATATTCGCCGTTTGTCTCTTTGCAGTACGGCGGGGAGGGGGCAAGGAAAGGGAAAGAGAGTGAAAGAGAGAGAGAGTGGGAGAGAGCACATGATCCGTGAGAGAATGAAACCCTCGGAAGAAGCGTGTCTCGGCAATGTCGCTTCCAACAAATTCTCCACCTATGGAATCCATTCGAGAAAACAGCTATTAAAATAATGGTCATCGGTGACCGACGAGGCATAAACTGACGACAGTCGTTTGTGTGACCTCTTGGTACTATGGAGTCTATAAGTGCTCGAAGGGAACGCTCAGTAGACCTCTCAGCAATCATCTTTTCTAGACGCTATCTTTGTCGATGCTATACATTATATTCATCACAAGAATATAAAATATGGAATATAGTAAATCATCGATGAGTGTTCGAAAGCTCCTAGGCACTGAGTGTTCGTATCAGGTTGATCCCCCGCCCAATTGTGAAGATAACGTTTGAACACTTACTGCCGAGGAGCTTTCAAATACTCATCGATAATTTACTGTATCGATCGAAACCGTGAATCGGATAATTTTATATCATTCATAAGCGACGACCAAATATCTGAAACGTCTTCGTGTTCATTGACGATTCCCGCGATTTCATAGTCATAGGGGTTCTGCTAACAAATTTCCAGCAGTC